AATCTCTCTCTCTCTCTCTCTCTCTCTCTCTCTCTCTCTCTCTCTCTCTCCTCCGTAGATCATTGTGAAAATTCTGACGTGACGTGATGTAAAATCCGCGAGAACAGAGCCGCGCGATTCGCCACATCGAATCCGCGGCATCTCGCTGTACAACGCTCTCACCAAGCGACGGAGACGAGCTCCAAGGAGACGAAGTTACGCAGCATGCTGCAGAAATAATAAATTCCCGATAAGCACGCGCGGAATTTGCGCGAATATACGTGAGCCAGCGGGGGTGCATCGGCCGTGAGAAAAGATACCGCGAGCATAAATATTTCTGCACACAATTTCCCTCCGCGCCACCCAACTCCACTCAACCCCCTAGGCCGACTTGTCGCGATCGCCATCAAGCGCGCGGTATGTCCGGCATGCTTCTAAGATCGCTTCTTCGTCGAAGCAACGGAGAAAGGGAAATCAGATTCGCGAAAGAGATTATAGTCTCTCTCTCTCTCTCTCTCTCTCTCTCTCTCTCTCTCTCTCTCTCTCTGTCTCCCCCCCCCTCTCTCTCTCTCTCTCTCTCTCTCTTCCTCATGGGAGGACTATCGATCGACGTCACGTGTGATCCTCGCCCACTATCCACCACATACACATCGAGACATTCCGCGTTTATTGAGTCTAGGCACTGTCTCTCCCCTCTCCCTCTTTCTTTCTTTCTCTCTCACCCCCTGCCTTGATTCTACCAACAACTCCTCGTCAAGATAAATAAGTTCCTTCCTCATAAATAATACGATAACGAAGCGCGTTTCTTCTTTTTCTTTTTTCCCTTTTTTCATACAGTTGCCCTCGAGGCGGCGGAGCTTGGCAGTAAAGGTGAAATTCACCGACTTATGCGGCTGCCAGTCGTAAATTTTATCCGCGAAATTAAACATTTTCTTAGGCCGCGAGAACGGAAGTGCGAGCAGACGTATTGCCGAGCATTTATATTTTAGCAGGGCTGTTCGCCGATTCTTTTTTATTTCTATCACGCGGCGGTGGAAACGCGCGACCTTTTTTGTTTTTTTTTTTTGCTTTTATTATGTTGCCCTATCCCGTTCAGAATGCGAAAAGTGCTGTGTACAGGTGTAACGCGCGAAGCTTTCAACTCTTCCGAAAAGAGAGAGGACTAAATAGATATGGAGTGTAAAAATGTTATTCGCGTCATTGCGCAAACTCGCTTGTTGTGGATTCGCGCACAACTGGCGAATCAGATCTAGAAAGAACTACACGATCTCGAATCGCGAATTGTATTCTTTGAAATCGTTTTAAACTATCAGAAGAAAGGAGAAAAAAAGGAGAGAGTATTCGCACCAGCTAACAATAACATATAACATCAATATTATAATTTCTCACTCAACAATGTAATACTTGTCTTGCTGAGTGAGAAATAATCATAATAATCTCAATATTATTTTAATGTAATTACTAATTACTGTTTATTGAGTATCGCGTACGCGATGTACCAAGTTTGTCACATCAATCAACACTGATAAAAATCAGTTAATATACTAATCATTTAGAATTAATATTCCTTGAAACTATTTTCTAAACTATAAGGAAAAAAGTACCCAGCGAACACCAATTAACAGTAACATAACGTCAACGCCATAGTTTTTCCCTCAACAATATAACTGTCCCATACAACTCATGTTATATCGCACTTGTACTCGCTGAGTGGGATAGGTATATATGTATTTTATTACTTCAGCAAACGTGTTAAGAAGGAATGTTGAATGGGAAACAACAGTGATAATAGTTCCAAAACAAATGTAATGTGTTACTGCTAATTGGTGTCTCGCGTATGCGCGTTCGTCGCATTAATCAACACTGATAAGAATCAGTTAATATTAATAGAATTCGAGTAAACTCATTCTCTGGAAACATATACACACACACATACACACACATACAAAAATATAATTTATGTGTGACACTGTGACATAAATAACACCCTTGCAACACGGGCGTGCACAGCCATCTCGTAGGTAGATCCCTCGTGAGCGCTGGCAAGTAGAAACAGACATCCCAGCGCGTACAGCCGACAGTAGTAAAGGCACGCGTCGCGTCAGACGCACCACGCGACAGGATGTACGGCGCGGTGCGACGCCACGTCGCGTCGCGTCGCGTCGCGCCGCGCCGGTCGAGCCGACGGATGGACGGATGAATGGTTGAATGGACGGACGATCACGTCCATTCTGATCATCAGGCCCGGGATTAACGGATTAACGAGACTCCGGTCACGCGACGACGATTAAGGGATGACCGGGCGAAAAACTCGACGGACGATTTCGCGGCGTGTCGCGCATCGCGTTCGCTCTGACGCGACCGCATGGAACGGACGCGTTTCACATGGGGAAACGAAGAGACAGAGAAAGAAAATGTGGAAGAGATCACGATGACGATGATGACAACGAGTGATGCGTAAGGCGGCACTCGGCCTCTTACCTTTCTACGTCACGACGAGATGCACGCGTCGAAATCCGTCCACGCCATTCTCTCTCTCGAGCACAGCACCGCACTGCACCATACACAGACCATACACTTGAGCAACACCTCCCCTCCGCCGCCGCCGGTCGGTCGGTCTCTGTCACGTCCTATATCTCTCGTTCCTTCCGACTACCCCCTTCTCGTCTCGATCCACCTGTCCGTTCCTCACTTTCTCTCTCTCTCTTTCTTTTTCTCTCTCTCACACACCCTCGCTTTCTCTCTGTCTCTCTCTCTCTCTCTCTCTCTCTCTCCCTCTCTCTTTCTGTCTGTGTCTATCTGCTTGTCTCTCTCTCTCTCTCCCCCTCCTCTGTCACGCCGGCAGGAGAAACCCTTTGCGTCTGTCGTCGGCCTCCCTTTTCTCCGGCGTCTTCTCCTCGTTCTCAGAGGTGGCGATCGAGCCGTGTTAACGAACGCGACGCCGCGATCGAGGCCGGTCGTCGATGACGATGGTGATGACGACGACAGCGATGACGGCGGCGACGATGAGGACGACAGCGGCGACGTCGTCGACGACGGAGGACGTGATTAGGAGGAAGAGGAAGAAGAAAAGGAAGCGCCTCCCTGCGGCACGCGCGCGCGCGAGAGAGAGAGACGACCCAGCATCCAGCTACGCCCGTGACAGCGTCTGGGCAACTACTGAGGAGGATCTGCGCGGTTCCGGCGCAAGCTGTGTCGTTCCCATTTTGACCGGACACGGCGCCACCGCGAGCCACCCTTCTCGTAGAGGGTGAAGGCGAGGGATCGGGGGTGGCACACACGCGGCCTCGGAATAAAGATATCCGCACGGACCGGAATGTGATGCCTAACGATATTACGATATATTAGAAAATATATAGATACTTTGCTTTCCTCTTCTACGCCATATCTTCACGTCGATACTCACCGATACCGGGGATTGTTATCGATATTTTTACGAGGCCGGCAGCATTTAGTACTGAGACGTGTAGATTTCTTTTTTTATCTTTTCGGATTTCCCGTAAATTTTCCATAACACTCGACGTTCCTATCCGCGATGAGCCATTTTTTCAATTAATTATAGCGCGTCATGACCTTTCTTTCCTCGTGATCGTCACAAATTGCGCACTTGGATGTAAATATTCTTTAGATTACTTGCGACACATCTTATTTTCGCTCCTAATTTCTTTGATTATCTGTAACAAAATATAACATTCCTTTAGACAAGTATCCCTGATATATTATGAGGAAAAGGGAAAATTCAAAAGTTGCATAGTATATGTTGCAAATTAAACTTGAATATACCTCCTACGAAAGCGAAGACTTCGCTTTCACCGTACTTGAGGATTCTCAGGATTCTTAGCCGCGCACGCGAGAGAGGGAGAGAGAGAGAGAGAGAGGGACGTATCGGCGCTTGCTTAAAATTCCATTTAATTAAATTTCATCGAAATCAATCTGCCGCCGCACTATCTATCCGCTACAATGCCGATCGAGGCCGCGAAGATTACGCCACGTTGATACGCGGCATCTCACGAGATGAGCTGAGGCGCGGTCGATACTACGTCATACAACGTCGGAGGCGACCGTACGGGCCGACAAACGATATCATACGTCGTTAAAAAGGCGAAGCCGCCTCCTTTTATCCATCGCGCGGCACGAGCGTCAGTAAATTCGACGAGCTACGTGACGGAGCCTCGTTACAATTTACGACTGAGAACCGGACGTGTAAATAGCGACGAACAGGCAATATTTCGAACAACTACCTCGTGATCGGAATCGCGACGTGCCTGCAGCCGGAACACTGGAAGTGACCCTTCCTTTTTGCACTTTGTGTTACGATGTGTCCAGTCTCTCGACGTACTTCCAGAGAATTCCTCAAAATAGTTGCCTTCAAAATTGTTGGAATTGCGAATTAATTAATCTATAGGAAATATGACAATATGACTCGTGTGTTCCTGCAAAATTATTTGAATTATTTGAATGTTTGAGGAGATCATATGATTTTATACATGATATTTAAATATAATTATATAATGTTATGCATAATTATATATATAAATATTATATTTAAGGAGTTTTAGCAATAATTTGCGAGAGTTATTCGAACGCACTTATATGCCAATTCTCGCCTAATGAGCTTATAATTATAATTATAATGATGTAGGATCTAGAAACGAAGTTAATAGCGATAGATCGACGCGCGCGAACGACAGTCGAATTTATTTGACAAGTACTTGAAACGACTATTCGTTGCGGAGATCAATTTTCCAGTCACGTACGCGTAATTATTAGTAATTAGTCCTGTCAACAAACACAACACCCGTATTTTACGGGGCCGTCATTAATACTAAATTAGCGCGAGCCGCAATTAAATAAATGACGGGTGAGGCAATAGGCTGGTAATTTGCCGGACGATTAAGAGATCGATTAACTGTATCGCAGAGGGGAGGGTGACTCGTAGAAATATCTCGAATAAGTGAACGACACCGCGACAGTCAGTCGAAATTGGCAACGCCAGCCGGAGGATATCAAGAGTTGAAAACTCTCGTTTGCTCTCTTCGGTCAAAGGCACCGATGAAAGTCGTTCAATCGAGAGTACCGCTTTCGCCTGAATAACACAGGCATTAACATCGCGATCGCCAATATAAGTCGCGAACATCAATCGACACGATTGACAGAGATACCTACTTTGAGATCGCTCACGTAAATCGGGCTCGTCAGTGTTAACGTTGGCGGATACGTACGCGTCGTTTAACTAATTATCGCTTAAAATTAACTCGAAATCGTCAGTCAAGAGAACTTACCTATTCGATATCGCCAAGGTTGCTCGGGAGGATGATTATGGCTCGTTCGAAATTGCCGGCGACGAGGGCGATTGGAAAATTTGTCGACGAGATGGGAGATGAGGAAGCCGGTAGTTTTGATTACGCGGTCGCGGTGAATCGCTGGAGCATGAGGCTGCTGGGTCTGTGGCCGCTGGACACGCGTCTGTCCGATCTCAAATGCGGTGTGAGCTTCGGACTGAGCCTGATTGTCGTGCTCCCAGCGATAGCGCGTCTCTTTGTGTTAACAGATCTGGTGGCGATAATGTATCAAGCCAATTTGACGTTGCCGGCGTTGCCGACGTTTGTGCGATTCGTCGTCATGAAGGTAAAGGCCAAAAACTTACGGGCCGTCCTGCACAGCATGAGCCGCGATTGGGCTAGCTACTGCTACTTGTCGGCGCGAGACCGACGTAGCATGTTCCATTATGTCAAGAAAGGCAGGCGAATTAACGTGGTTTACATCGCGTGGATGACACTGACGATCGGAGGTGAGGCAAATCCCAACGTACCCTCGAACTTTGGAGAACCGCTCCTGCGTAAACCTGAAAATCAAAATTTATTTTATTTTATTAATAATCTTACTCTTTCATCCTTTTTCATCTTTACTGACATACTGAATACTGCGGAGGTTTCATTAAGTTACGTATAGATTATATTGTTTACACTTGGAAATCGATTCTGTGTAGCAAATAAATAGTTGTTGAAACGAGACGAAAGATAAATGCAGGTCGAGTTACGTCAGTCTATATATTTACGTGTCATCGGTAATCCATTCGTCAGCTAAGCTTTCGCGCAGTTGACAGAAATTAACGCGGCAATCAACGTGTTGAATGATCACCGCTGATAAATTCGTAAATACTCTCGTAAATAAATTCGTGATAATAATGCGAGCGATATACTCACCGCAGCGTACATATTGATGCCGCTCGGGGTTGCGTGGTTGAACGACCATCCTGGGAACGCGACCGACAGAAGACTGCCTTCGGAAGTTTTCTTTCCTTTCCCTCTGGAACAGTCGTACGCGTACGAGATGATCTACGTCGCGCAGTCGATCATGGCCATTATCAGCGGCACGGCGATATTCTCCGTGGACTGCTTCGTCTGTGTCGTCGTGTTCCACGCGTGCGGGCAATTGGACGTGTTGGCTGCGACGCTGGAGCGGTACGACGGCACCGTCGAGCACGAACGCACGGGGAACGCGCGTTCCCACTGCTGCGCCTGCCTGTCGTGCGTCGTGAAGCGACACGTGCATATCGTCAAGTAAGGCCGATCGCATCTCTGGCGGCTGAAATTTGCGCGTCGAGCAGTTGCTTCGTTTCCGAGATTATGATTCCTATTAACCGCAGTGATTTTCAGTTACATGAACGTCGTGGAGAAATCCTTCGACAACTTCATCCTATGCCAATTATTGTCGACCACTATCATCCTGGCGATTCAAGGCTTCCAAATCGTTTTGGTAATGGGCAGTGTTCTTATAAATAAGTATATTAACGAGGCTAAATAAGTATTCACGGACAACGCGTGATATATTGTTCTCAAATCGCCTTACATATTAGCGCGTATCATCGGAAACACACACATGTATAGAAAATGCATGATATATGTGTACACTTATGTGCACTGCTAGAGACATCACTAACGTATACAGGGTGTCCCTGAAATAGTTCGCTAAACTCCGGAACTCCACTCGTCTCGAAGATGAAAGAAGAATGAAGCAAGCGGTGTCGCACGGTCTTCTCTGTTCATCCTTGAGACGAGTCGAGTGTGCCGCCGAGCTCTGGCGATCTATAATAAAAATATTAACTCTTAAAAGCAATGTATCACATTTTCCATATATTTTTTATAAATGATACATATCTTCATACATCACATATGAATATGTGTCATTAAGCTGTCTGAGCAAGAACATTTCTTGTTTCAGTTTGCTCGCGACAGCAATATCACCGGTTTCATCACGTTCCTCATATATTGGATAACATTTACGTTCTATATTTTCATATATTGCTATGTTGGAGACTGTGTTATCGAGAAGGTAACTCATGAGTGCCATTACTATTCTATTTTTCTCTCTTTCGCTAAGTTTATGCTTACATAAGTAACGTTAATACCGTGAAGGTAACAATAATAACATGGAAATTAGATTTTATTAATAAACAGAGAGAAAAGATTTTATTAATAAACAGAAAGAGATAATCTATTCCACCATTGTAGATAAAGCAAGTTATACTTGAGTTCGCAATTTACTTTGAGACACGTAAAATAATAAAATATTCTAACAAAATTATTTAATCTTCTATAATTTAATAACTAAATAACGTAATTCTTGTGCATGACGACTGAAGAGTGAAAATATTGGAAGAACGGCGTATAACCTAGAATGGATCAATTTCCCGCGGAATTACGCTCGACCTATTATATTGTTAATAGCACGTTCAAGGAGACCCTGCAGAATTACCGCTGGGAGTTTCGCTACGATGACCCTCTCTTACTACAAAACAGTAAGTTTTCTTTTCACCAAAAAAGTAATCTTCTAAATTTGTTTTGACTTATTCATATTAATACGTACTCTCCTCGATATGCTTACTCTTAGATTTTGATGAAATCGTTGTCCTATTTGTCTGTTCTTATGGCAATCAAATAAATGACTATTATTGGTAAATAACAGCTAATGGATCATTGATAAATGGTCAATATATTATACTAGCCAGATTGCAAAGAAAATAATTATAAAAGCATGGATGTTCTAAAAGTAATATTCTGTTACGATAATATGTCAGAAAATTAAAAAAAATTATTCACTTACATCTGACCAGTATTTACATAATAAACTAATTAGTAACTAGTTGCTTCCAGTTAGGACTACAAGAGAGACATAAAAAGAAAAATAGTAAAATATTTGAGTTTTCTATAAAAATAGATATAAATAAAAATTACTTATGATTACACTATATTCTTTTCCTATCTTTCCTCTTTCAATCGCATATTCTTTGAGGAATTTAAACTTGACTTTTCTTAAACAAAATTTATCAAAAATCAAATTAATTACCGTTAGGAAATTCGCTACGATGATCCTCTCTTACTACAAAACAGTAAGTTTTCTTTTCACCGCAAAAAAGTAATCTAAATTTGTTTTGATTTATTCATATTAATACGTACTTTTCGGAAAATTATTCATTTCCTTGTTTCATAATATTTTACTTTTCAGCATTAACGCGTGTTAATTTAATCTGCCAAAAGAAAAATGTTACCAAAGCCTGTATGCAATTCGCCAAAGAATATGTGATGTACAACAAAAATACATGTCACGCTATAATATACTATAAATCAGAAAAATGTAAAAAAAATCTAAGCGATAAAAAAAGTTATAACAAAGAACATAAAATTGAGGATCAAAATATAAAATATTGACTATAATAAAATAATTATTTGAGTCTTAACTTAATAGTGAACAAGTCAACGATTAATACTACAATGTTTTCGCGACAATCAAGTAGGATTTTCGCGATACAACAATTGCAGTCTAAAAGACTTCAAACCATTACTAACCAGTTGCTGTATCGTATCGTCCGATCATGCACTTACCAGTTGTCATGAGTAAGTAAATGCCTTTGGAAAGCACGAAATCTAACGTACGATTTTTGACACTTTTCACATATGTAGTACTTTTCATAGACACTGTCTGATATATTATGTATTGCTTTCAGATGCTGTACTAACGATGATTTGTATCTGTAAATCCGTTTATCATAAGCGCACGTCTTCCACATCGGCAGGAAGCTGCGAAATAGCCAGTGCTTGTTTTTATCCCGTGTGTATTCTCACCTGTATATTTTGTTGCAGACATGACACTTGAAATCCTCCTTGTAAAAGGTGCAACGAGTAAAATGTTTCCTGAATTTCTTCTTACTGAACAATCGGTTACACTCTGTACACTGGATAATACATACATCTGAAGGCAAAAATTATTTATCGCGTATCACACCTGTTGTGCCAAAGGCTATTCGAATAAGGCTGTGGAAACTGAGCCTGATAATTTGCTACAACCTTCCTCCGATTTACCTTTCTTCTTCTTATGCGGCTGATCAATGAGGGCAGGGACGGGAACATTGGTGGAGGCGGTATCTTGATTCCGAGATGTCGTTTCGTTCACCTCCATCGAGAAGTCTTGTAAATTAAGGTAGTTCGCTTCGTCGAGATCTCTTATCCGTTCCACGAGTTTCGACGGTTCCGTTGAGTCGTTAGACAGCGTGACGAGTTCCACAGAACTCTGTTCCACGCAAATATCTTGCGCTTTATCGGTACAAAGAGAATTCTTCAATTCGCACTGTTTCACAGGTATCGGCACGTCAGTCTCGATCGATTTCGTCACGAGGTCGTTGCCGTTGCACGCGTTCTCTCTCGCGGCACTCGTGTCCTCGCCGAAGTCGTAGCTGAAAAACTTGTCGAAACCGTCTATATCGCCCAACACGTGATAATAGTCGCTAGTATAAAAATCATAAGCGTAGGACGCGAACAGTTCCGCCTCCGCGTCGCTGTTCACATGACTCGGAACAGAATCTTCGTACAGCACGAAATCTCGGTCGCAAATCGTGCAGTTTGCACAAGCGCAGGTGCACAGCACCTCGGACGCGAGGAGGAAATTCGATCTGTTTTCTTTGCTCATCGAATACTTCCTCCAGCCGTTCTCCTCGGCTGCGAACTCACCACCCAGCGAATCCTTCTGCAGCGCATCCTGCTGCCCATATTCCGTCGATTTGCTAGCAACAATACTGTTGCGATTCGCATCAGCGTTCTCCTCGCAAAAATCGTCACAGAAAACATCCGCCAACACATCCGACTCCGGACTTCCAGCCTCGACGATGTCGGTGAACACGTCGAGGAAATTGTTACGCGCACCACTTTGCGCGGTCGCGCTGTCTGCCATGTTTACTTCCGCGGTGAGAACAGAAGAGCCAGTGTCAAAGCCTGACACTAGTTTAGCCGTCTTTTTGTCGCCAGATTTGCCAGTGACCGCTCGTGTCGACTTTTTAAACAAGCACCTATGCTCTTTGTGTTTGTTGTGCTTGTTGTCCATCTTCTTCATTGGGGTGCCTTCTTCGCGGCCCAACGACGCGTGCAACGTTTCCAATTCGCTGATCGTTTGCGACGCATCTTCACCTTTCTCATTAGTATTGTTATTATTATGCCAACCCGGCACATCGAATCGCACGTCCAAAGGGTGATGCACCTGCTTCCTCTGATGATGCGACTTCGGCGACGCGATCTTGCTACACCTGCCGTCCCTCTCCGAGTCGCTGGGTAACGCCGCATTTAAATCAAAGGACGCAGTTGCATCCTCCGCGAGGGGCACGTCCTTGGCGAGCACGAATGTCTTGTAATTTTTGCACCCCCTCGCGTTGCTGCTTCGCAGAATATTCGGCATACTTCGGGTGGGCTGTGCAGCGCTGTGCAGCGTAACTTGATTCGTGTCGTCTACGAAAATGGTCTCAAAGGATCCCATGTTGCGGAACAGATACACGCTGCCACTCTCCATACTCCCACTACTCGTGTCTCGCAATTTTTTCCCCATATATTCTGTCTAGGTGTACCTTCAGTCAATAAACAAAGTGTTAGTGTCGCCATTGCATAGATGCTAGGAAATACTATCGTTATCGTATCGCATCGCGAGCCTGCATCAGGGGCTGCGCGTATTCTTGACACATGTCGACCACTAAGCATACTTTTCCGATTCTCAAGCCGAACAGCTTCGTACGAGACTTGGAGTAAAAAAACCGCACGGTTCAGACGATGCGGTTTCGAGCTTGGCAAGCGTTTTTCCTCTCCACTTACGTGTAAAAAAGTGCAAAAAGACGTTCTATCCGCGCGACAACCGTCGTGACGAAATGAGACATCGTGTTTAATCACATACGTATACAATAACCGCGAAGTGTTCGTTGTACATGAATGCCTGTATGAAGTTAGCTCTCCACTTTTCGAATTTAATAATTTTGATAGTTGTGCTGATTTGTGCTAGGTTTGTGTTATATTGTGCTCGAATTATAAATTTTTAATACGAAAAATGAGCAAGAAAAATGGAAAAACCCGGTTTTTTGGTAGCCCCCCACTTTTCGATTTTCGAAATTTTTTTTATTGTGTTAGGTTGTGCTAACATTGTGCTAAAGTAGTATCTTCGAAAAATAATCACGAAAGAAATAAAACGAAAAAAACTATTTTAGGTAAAAAAGAAGAAAAGTAAGATTTACACTCGTAGAAGTCAACCAAACGATATACAATTATATATCGTTTGATTGACTTATACGAGTGTAAATCTTACTTTTATTCTATTTGCCTAAAATCGTTTTTTTCGTCTTACTTCTTTCGTGATTATTTTTCGAAGATACTACTTTGGCACAATGTTAGCACAACTTAGCACAACCTAACACAATAAAAAAAATTTCGAAAATCGAAAAGTGGAGGGCTACCAAAAAACGGTTTTTTCCATTTTTCTTGCTCATTTTTCGTATTAAAAATTTATAATTCGAGCACAATGTAGCACAAACCTAGCACAAATTAGCACAACTGTCAAAATTATTAAATTTGAAAAGTGGGGGGCTAACTTCATACAGGCTACATGAAGTTTGTCAGAGTGCAGAAAGTACGACAACGCTAGGCGATCAAATAACCCCCGTGACAGCAAAATCGTGTCTTATCGCCTTCACACAATTAAACTAACGCGAGCTTTAACTCTCACGCAGATTATGTGTCGATTTCTCCAACTTCTTGGCAAGTAACAGTCAACTCATGTCTTAGTTTTTCCCTTAAATTAGACAAATACTCGTTTCTATTAGCGTCGATTAAACGTCAGCTCAAAATCTATGCAGAGACAAAAACTCGGGTTAAGATTCAATCGACATCGGTTGAAACGTACAAAAGACAGAGATATGAATTAACTGTTAGTTTATCAGCTTTTTAGTTTAGTTAACTCACCAAGATGTTGAAAAATCGATCCTACGTTTCGTGAGTCTGCGAATACACAAAGGGTGGATAATGCACTTGGGATTGTGTGATATTTGTGTAATATTCTTGATGCGTGTTCGAACCTTTCTTATCTCGAATTCTTTATACTCGTATAAAAAAAAAATGAAACTTGAAATAAAAGGAGCGCACTTAGCTTTCGAATACGTCAAGAATACGGCCTTTGATATCGTGTCCTACGAACTGGCGAAATAAATGGCGGACGGTAGGTCCCGGTTTATTTCCAGAAATTAACGAGATCACCGATCGATATTCGCCTCCAATTGATAACGCGTCTTCGTTGTTATTATAACTCACTTCGACAGCCGTTCGCTCGTTCGTCATGTGATCACGCACCCGGGAAACAATTCGACGGCGATCACGGAAGACTGTCAATCCGACAATGCGTATCCATCGATAGTCTACGATCAACTAAGCCGACGAACGAACGTAGCGAGCCGGACGGAGACACATGGTAAGAGTGTCTCTTACCGTTAAGCAGAAAAAGAAATCTGAGAAGTCCTTGAGAGCGCGATAAACACCGGAGAAATTCTTGCAGACGTCGGGGATCATAAACATCGCCGCCCGTAACCTGGCAGTGCGGCCCTTCTGCTTCCTAAACACTTCACTTTGTTTTCACGTCGACTGCTGGCTGCTTCGGCGAACGGCGCCAATATCTCTAACGTAATCTGTGTATCTCTCTTCTCGGGCGCAATAAAAATACCACGCAATCGACATACAGAGCTCTCTATCCACGGGAAAACAAAGAACAATACAGAAGGTCCGGCATGGGCCAATAGAATTCGGTACGTTCGGTTCCGGAAACTGCGGTCTGAAGTGCAACCATTACCCAAGCATTCTCTCTCTCTCTCTTTCTCTCTCTTTCTTCCTTCCTCTTTTTCATAATACAATGAGTGTAAAAAGTACTCATAAGAGATTGTCTTGAAGAAAACATTTGTAGAAAATAAGCTTTATTTAATAATCTATTAACAGTGAACATAATAAATGATATATTTCTCAAAATTATGTTAATAAATTGTTAAAACTTATGTTCTACAAATAAGGTTTTCTTTCAAAACTCTCTGGTGTACGAATATTTTTTGCACTCGCTGTAGCTACAGGCATCTCTGCTCCAACGCCATTCAAAGATGTGTATTATGTTAATTTGGCATTGCCACTCCCCGATTAGTAAATGATTTTTTATGCTTCTTGGAAATAATTTTCCAAGATATTTTCCAAAAAATCACAGATCACGCCCGTACAGGTATGTACGTCTTCATGCCACGACAATAAAGCCGGAACTATTATCAAGGCACGTATTACGGAACGCTTCGGAATCGATTTCGATCGGAATAATTCGACTTTCCTCAGAAAAAACATAAATCTTGGGAATAATAGAATAATTCCGAAGAGTTCCGTAATACGTACCTTCTCAAAATTATTCAATTCACTTGTGTACTTGACGTTTAGGAAATGGAGGGAATTTTGGGTTAATTTAAAAAATCTAGTGTTTTGTTGAAAGAGTCGACGAGTAACACGTAGTAAAATATTTTATTGGTATAAACGAGAGTGTATAAATTTGGAAAATAATATGTTTCTCTGCAAATGGATTAACTTTTAATTGTGCGGTAATAAATGTATAAAATAAATAAAATGTAAACTCTTTCCGCACGTAAATCCCATAATACTTATTACATTTGTTTACTCGTGTATCTGCAATTACCTAATATAGGCAAGATTACCAGTCGTTGTCATCATCAAGATTTTCATTCTCGTTCCTCAGGCTTGAAAATAAAACATCCATCACTTTGGGTCGAGGATCTTCCTTGATCTTTGTTGGTACTGCTCCTACTTGTCCCAACATCCACTCTAATTCTATATGATGAAATGGTACAATGTATTTTTTTTTAATTTTATAATTTTTATAAGGTACTCTAGAGCCAAATGGGTTACCTCCTTCAGTCAATTTCATACCACGGAACTCGAGTGGTCCAATAATTTGTTTTATCACGTTCCCATTGTGAATGATGAATATTGTGGGAAGATTACTGTCTCGCCAGTTGGAAATACAAGTAGTAGAAATGCTTCTCAAAAACTTTGTGGTAGGAAACTTTCTTGCTAGATTGGTAAGATGCATATTGACTAGAGTACAGAGCGGAATACTGAAAATAAATAAGTTATCGAATAAGTTTTCAAAATATTGTATTGTGAAAATTCACTGCCTCATAGTTGTACCCAGATTTGTAAAGGTGCAGAACAACCCAGATATCCTCTCCAGCCTTGTTAACCTCTTGAACGTAATCTTCTGCTGATATTTCTCGTACCTGCCCATATTTGGATTTATTAGCCAGCTCCTTTAATTCTGCTATTCTCTTTTGTCGATATGCTTCTAGTACTCGTTCGTCCTCTTCATCCTCTAGTTCATCTAACTCATCCAGAGATTTTTCCTCCAAGTTATTTGGAGCTAGTCAAGTAAACAATAAATTATTAACAACTTAAAATCTATCAAAAGGATAATGCAATTGAAAATCAAGATATCCAATTACCACGTCCTGTTTTTTCATCTATAGTATTCTCCAAAAGATTTACTATTTGATCTTCAGTAACTTCTTTCTCCTTCTCCTTCTCAGGTATGATGCCTTTTCTTCTGAGAATATCATTCCATTCGGTATCTTCATTTGGATCTTGCTAAAAGTAAAAAATAAACTGAATTGAGAAATCCTGAGTATATTACAAAATAAAGTATTCGAAAATCTGAATATATGTATTTTGCAGCTTACAGTCATATTACCATAACCATATAAGGAGTCATGCGTAGCTAACCTCTATTTAAGCTTTTATAACACAATAAACTTTAATTCCTGTTATCAATACTCACCATTTTGGAAAAATTGTATAAAATCTTTCTATGTCAGTAATTTTGTAGCATGAAATTAACTGTTTTAAATTCCTTATATCAAATATTCGTGGTGATGACTGAGGCAACGTGAAAAACGGAGACGACAGCTGATTTACCCTCTAACACAAAGAAACGAACACACGCTCGCACACATACATAGCACTGTCAGCACAGTTATCAATGTAGATGTAGATGAGTAACTCAAAAAGATATCTGGACAAATAATAGAAAAGATTCATTTTTTTAATACAATATTTTATAATGATTTTATTATAACCAAATATAATCTAAATTATACAACACTCGTTATTTCTCATGTAAAATTGATGCGCATTTACAACTAATACTTATATTGGCACTTTTCTTGACAATTACATATCAGTCTTTGTGCGTGTTTATATATTCTGCAATGTGCGGTTAGTTTTCTATCTAATCATAGAATTGCTCTTCTGAACAACAATAATTTCACTTCTCTATATCGTAGGTTATAATAAATAGATGTGTAGTTTGTGAATTTACGACTCCCGATAGAAAGTACAATCATACAACTGCGAATTAATATTATAATAATCGCGCTTATAAAACTATATACATATAACATCAATTTCCAATCAGACTGAATATTCGTCATTACGTATTGTAATATAATATTCTATGTGTAAGGTAATCTTGGGGGTCAATCTGTTAAAACATTCCAACAAGAGTATCTATCTATTTTCTTGACTTGCGTCATTTGATTGCTGATTCTTGGTCTCAACGGGAAGCGCGAGTGTGGCGATCGCGGCGCACAACGCCGTTGTTGCGTAGATCGCCATTGCTCCCGTGATGGACCATTGCAGGAACACCTGCGCTATATACGGTGTAACCATTGCGCCGATTCGCGCCATGGCGCTACACGCGCTCACACCTATGCTACGTAAATGCGTGGGGTACACCTCCGGCGTGTACACGTACGCGGCTTGAAACACGCCGGCGATCAAGCCCCTAGCTAGAAAAATGGCGATGGTCAAGGCCGCTCTGCTCAACAGGCAGGTCCTACCCAGGAAGCAGATCACCATGGCGAACATTACTAATTGGCAGGCCATCGTCTTCCGCCTGCCGATCTTCTCGATCGCGTACACAGTAGAAAAAATGCCGGGAAATTCCGCCAACGTTGTCCAAAGCAGATCGATGTAATCGCCGCGTCGTAGTCGGCAATCGAATTCGCACGTGTCCTCCTCCTTGCTTGTGTCCCACGTGCCGCATTGCTCTGAGGATGTGTGAAAGAGTTCGGTAGTCATTAACACCACGCCGTAATAGCAAAACGCTGTGCTCATCCTGAAAAAAATTGATGATAGAAATAAATGTACTTAAGACATACGTGTGCTTATCTTTAATTTGAGATGGCATTGTGCATATATATCGAAATGTAGAAATTCTGTTTACCAAACCAGCCAGAGTAAAGCGGACGTTTTGCACATCTCCTTGCTCAGAACATCTCTAAATTGTCCATGGTGACCTTGATAAAAGCGGTCCATAACTAGTCTACCTAGAGGTAACGATTTTTTATTTTCTCTGGCTACGCGTTCCAACGTAGAGATCGCGCGATCTATTCTTCCAGTTGTCATGTCGAATACTGTGGATTCTGGGAGCCACTGCAAATGTATATTCAGTATTTTATGTATCACAATTCATTGTTAGATAAATTCATTCAGGAACAAATAATACATATTGAAGGCAAATAAACGTGTTACAAACCGGCGTTATTACAGCGAATATGAACAGCGGAATGGACGACAATATGAGAAGCCATCTCCAGCCGAAATTGGGCATGACAATTAGTGCAATCGCGACCTCGAAACAAGCTCCGAGCGCCCAGAAACACTGTTAACATACGCGCTTATTATTATGACAGCGTTGTACATTTGACGCGTGCACGTAGTCGAAATATTTATGAACTTACGTCTAACAAAATAACGCATCTTGCTCTTTGCTTCGCTGGAAGGAATTCCGCGTACAATGTCACTCTGTGAAAAAGAAAATGCATCGATAGTAACAATGTATCGCAAGGCAAAAGAGTGACATGTCCTTAAGAAACTTACCAAATACTTACGATTGCGGTACACAACCAATAGCAAACCCTACAACTCCCCGAAGCAGCAAAATCCAGAGGAAGTTTGGCGCGAACGAGCTGAGAAAGGCGTAGTAAGACAGCAGCACAGCGCACAAAGTTAAAGCTTGTTTACGACCGTATCTTTCGCTTAAATTATTCCAGAACGTAGAACTTAGCATCATGCCAAGGAAGACCACCTAAAAATATGATTTTCACAGTTGTAATCATTTCAACTATATTAGTCGTGCCAGTTGCTTATCCTCAATAGTAATTATCTCAACTAAAAAGTTACCGTTGTTGTCAGTGCTTGTTGATATCTAGAGATGCCCCAATCGCAATGCAAGGATGGACTCAGGATGCTCAGTATGGTGATCTCCATACTATCTACCATCCAACAGAGACCCGTGAACAGAGAGAGTTTGACTTGGAATTTACCAAAGCCCAATGCATTGATAGCTTGTACCACAGTGAACGTGTCTGTGGATGAAATTTCAGTGTGAGTTGATTATCTCATCATACATAGGTCGACTGTACAGAAATTAATTATTATACAGGACAAAATAGGACTAAGTATTCATTTTTATTTGATAACGAATTAAAAATATCAAGTAACTGAGAAATTATATTAGGCTTGTTCTATTTAGCTAAACTTTATTCTTCTTCTCTCCAATGCTACGTTTCATCTTAAAGGCAAAATATACAACTTTAGCTGAAAAGAACAGACCTATTGTATTGCTATATAAAATTTGTAAAATAGATGTACAGACCTGTCTCCTTGTGTGCATGCATTTCTACCATGTACTATTATTAGAGACACTTTGTGTAATGTCCTGTATGTGATATTACCAGCCCAACTTAAGATAGTCATTAGTAAAAACCAACTCCCATGGTGTTACGTTACCATGCGACATTAGATATTTACACAGAGTGTGGTTCTTCCTTAGTGTTAGAGTTAGGTGAACCCTTCTGTACAGTTGGGGAACGGCAGACGATTAGACAGTGTGATATATTACAATTTCTACATACACAATTTGCACACATAGAGCATAATTCTAACGCAACGTACCATCAGGTATGACAACGACGGAGGAGAGCTCCATGGATCGTTCAGTTCCATTTTCGAGACTTGTTGGGCAACTCGACGTGCTCTGGGCGCAGACATTTAGCTCGGCGCCGTGCGATTCTTCCAATTCGCGATATGGTTCGCTGGATTTTCTACCCGGATTCGACATAGTTACGACTTGGACGCGAACGGCATAAGTATAAGCTGCGAAATGTCGATCTATCTCACATTCATCGATTCAGAAAGATGAAAAGGGCAAACTGCGATTCACTTTCCAACTCGACACCAAGAGTCTCCTAATTTTATGCGAACCGCCAAATCTCAGGTTATCGTGCATTATCGTTGATACTTTTGTAGGTTAACATCTCAAACGCGTAATGAACACTTGCTATCTATGAGACCGTGGTCAGTAATATTTTGTTTCTCGACGCTGAACGTATGTGTTCATTTCATATTGTGACAATATAAATAATTAATGACGAAAACGAACGGTAAATAAGCCACGCTGCGACCATAGACCATCGTAATAGATGGAAAAGTTCCTTGCGTGTAACGTTCTTGAAAAATAAAGATCCGTCTGACTTTTCACCAAGTCGTACTACTTCGATTTGTCGGTAGAAACTTCGAAGCTGAGAGGTCTGTTTCTTTATCGTCGAACGGTTTACTAAGTTTGAAAAGAAACAAGAGCTGCGTTCAGCAGAACACAACGGTTGCACGACCATTTTTTCATTTTTTGCTGAACAGTGCTAAACGCACTCGGTGATGCAACGTGTTTATTCATTGTTTTCCAGCAAACCGAAAACGCTGCATCTAAACGCAACATGTTGAACAAGATTGATGCCTCTAGCTTGAATATGTAATATATGTATGAAACGTATTCAAATCTATATATTCACACATTTTTATAAGTTAAACTAATACTTAAATATACTCACAACGAAAGAGCTTAATATTAAAAAGGTATGATTCTGTGAGTTGAAAAATCCTATGTAATAAAAATTTGTGGAAAAGATTTAATAACATTTCAGTGAAAAATATATTCACATGTATATATATATATAATATGCTCTATATAAATTAACATATATTGATCTTCACAAAGAGCACTGTCTGTTTCTATGTAAAACAGGTCCCATTAACTTCCTCATATCTGATCTGATCTCGTAATATCAATGTTTCTTTGATTTATACTTAACATGGTTGACGAAATAAAAAAAAAAGAAAAAACTAATAGTCTAAAAACTCGCGATAGATTTAATCGCTGTTGTTTTCGTCAGAATCCTCTACTAAGATTGTATCGTGGCCGGGCAGCATTCGCGGATCGAAGGTGGTTTGGAAACACTTTTGAAACACTGTTTTGGCTCTTTTGGCCAACTGTTGGCGCGGTGGTGAACGCGGGATGCTTTCATCTAGGTCTATGAGTTCCGCGTCCTGTTCTTCTTTGAAATAATCGCTCGTAGACTTTCGCTTTGTGATGCTGGAGAATACCGAATTCACCAACTTCTTGTGACTCTCTGGGATTCTTTTAAGAGTCGTCGACGATGGCGTACTAGGACTGATAGCAAATAAGTGACTCCGCTCCGGCTTGGCTTGATTGCTCTCTGGTACGTCGTTTACAGGATTATTCGTTCCCGTGGTCGCGCGAACGTTGTTCTCAACTCGATTAAGCGTCTCATTCCCTTGATTAGTCTTTTCCGCATTCTGCCTCTTGAACATACTATCAATTTTAGCATTGTGTGGGACTGTAGACTTCTTTGCTTGATTTGTAGCTTTGTTGTTGTGTTTGGAGGATGATTTACATTTCAAAACTGACTTCTTGCGAACAGATTGCACGTGCCTACTAACAACTGTGGTGTCTGATTGAGTGTCGCTATCCGGACTCAACGTTGACAACACCAAGTTCACCTCGAAGCCTTGGTTTTTCAAAATGAATAGCACTGGGCTGGAAAACATTACATTTGTAATATTAAACATTTATTGAAATATATAGCAAAATGCATTATATTACACTAATTATATTACACTAATTACTGAATAGCTACTCTATTCAATATATCTCATGAAAATAATTATTTATTTTGTAATATATTTCACACATTTGTGTGTGCACATATATAAAAATACAGCATTTCAATAATGTCTTTGGACACATTGTATCTAAATTTTTTGTATCTCATGAAGAAATTAAATTAAAATAAAATTAGGGAGTTTGAAAGAATAATGCGTACCTCCCCGCAGTCTCGAAATGTGCACTAACTGGGACACCTACGCTCTCACTGAAAGTGAGGAAAGCTCGAAATTCTTTCAGGCAGAATGTGACAACCGTCTCGTTGCCTATTACGTAACGATCGAACTCTCCGACACTGAGGACTAACTGCGTGCGTGTGATATGTTGTAAAACTAAAGATAAAATAATGAATCAGAAATGAACAGAATAAAATGTTATCTCGTGTTGTATTCGAGCAAGGGGCTTATCAGAAATTGTCAAGTCAATTCACCTGAAGCATCATCCACATAATTTCTGAGTAGCAGTTTCTGTGGTGTTACCTCAAGTGTTATTTCAATCAGGTTCTGCTGAAAATTCTGTAGAGCATCTATTAATGTTCGAGCCCGTGACGTCAACTCGTTAGTCATACCAGTCTTAGTGTACGATGCCTGTACAATTTATAATTTGTTAAAAAATTATTCACTTTCGAAAAATTCCATACTCAAACAAATAAATTTCTTTGTAATTTGAGAAATTAAATTTTATCAAAATTTCAAAGTATTCAGAAGTACTAACGTAATTCATTTCAGGATATTTAATAATAAAAGTATATTAACTAAAACATAAGTTAGCTATTCAACAATGTTAGATAGATATTTGTAAATTTATGAATTTATAAATTTATCTATAAACATTTATCCATAAGAAAAAATTTTCAATATACTTGCAACTTCTCATCATCCAAGATGGGTGACAAGTAGGACTTGTTAATGCCATTTCTATATTTCAAGATGAATACCAGATTACAAGCATTTATTTCCAGATTAATGTGACAGGTCTCCACATACTTGTCTAATGTATGCGCAGATTTGAAGATAGTCATGACGCTCTGTAAAATATAGAATATATGTCAGAATATACATCTAATAATATATCATCATAGTACAAAAAATACTTAATAATATATAATCGTAGTACAAAAGAGATAAATAAGCTCACTCTCATAGATATTTTACACTTTTGGGTTTCTTCTTCCTCAAGATCCCCAAGGACATAATAAGAAAAGAAATTTTTGTGAAATGTAAAGTCAGAATATGCTGATTTTGCCATGTTGACTGTACTGAAGGATATCGATTCTTGTTGTGGATTCACATACATCTCATCCCCAATTTTTGCCAGCATATGTATGGCTTTTGCCAAGACTGTATCAAACAAATATCAATTAACAGTTTTGAAATATATAATTACAAGTACAAAGATGTACATAGGATTCATGTATTAAATCTTGTGCATTTTAATGTACTAGTACTGTGTACCAGTAAAATGTGCATTTTACTAGTAATTTATGTAATATTATATTTGCATATTGCAGTTGCAGAAAAAATATTAAATTGATAATAATATTCTCTTTGCACAATTTCATAATGTCGAGTGAAATAACTTAGATTAAAGAGACAATTGACATACTCTTTACATTTCCCCCCGGTATAACGCATTTCATGTCGACGTTCCTTTTGTTCTAAGCACGACCGATGTCAAAGAAACACAATTTGCTTCGATTCAATAATCCCTGGAAGACAATGTAATAAAGAAATTCATACTTTTTCGCGCGGCGATCGACTTACAGGTTATGTCGTATTTTTACTGACAGTGCGACCAACATGACGTCATAATAGCTACGAAAGCTGCGTTCCAAAATTCACTACTAGTACTGAAAATCTATAATATATGTTACATACATGAACTATAGATTTTCAGTATTGGAAGTGAATTTCGGAACATAGCCTAAAGGCGAATTCACATTTTGACAGAAAGGTAAAAACCAATCAAAACTTGCGTTAGTCAATGATGACGACAAACGGTAGTCGACAATTTCTATTTTTCTACCAGTGTGAGTTTTGATTGGCTTCCGGTTTCGTTTTCGGCTTTTCTGCCAAGGTGTGAATTTAATCTAACAAGGCCCCTGCTTCAACGCCACTCAACATTAAAAGATGTGCATTATGTTAATTTGACAATGGCATTCTTCCATTAATAGATTAATAGGTAGAAAATTTGTATGTATATATATAATATATAAAGCCTTTGAAAATAATCCAAAGTATATTCTAAAAATCATAGGTTATGTCCGGTAAGTTTGAACACGTCCTTATGTAATGGCGATTAGACCGGAATTTGATCGGAATCTATGTTTTTAAGTCATTAGCCTAATCACTCTCGATATCGAATAAGAAGATATTAAAAAGATAAATCCTTCAACATAGAAAAAAGGAAAAGAATCTCATCGTTTCATCGATCATTCGTACATATGATATCATTCATCTTTACACGATTTTTTGGAATTATTTTAAGGGACATCAAGAATCATCTATTAATCGGAGAATGACATTGCTAATAAATTAACATAATGCACATCTTTTAACGTTGAATGGCGTTGGGGCAAAGGCTTTATTATAGGCATCTATAATCACCTATAACTATATATTGAGAGAGAAAGAGAGTCAATCTTTACAAAGAATGGCGTTGGGGCGAGTATCTATGGGTTCCTGGAGCTAAACATTGAATGAGAGATAAAGAGAGAAAGAGAGCCCGTCTTTACAACAGGCCGACACTACGGAGAGATACGAAAGCGGACGGTCAGAGTGTAGTGGGGAAGCGACAGCGCGTTTTATCACACTCGCTGTCGCGTCGCATGCGTTTCTCTTCCCCGTCGTCGATTACCATGTAGTGCAGTTCAGAATCGCTCGCATCGACACGGCAGCCGTGGTCGTACGCGCGCGTTACTAGTGATCGTCGATATGCGCTAGTAACGAACAGAGGTGTGTCGCGACACGCGTTAACGTGTAGCAACGAACAACCGACCGACTAGTTCCGTCTCGCCGTGTTCCTCTTTCTAGCGGCGTGTGAGAGAGCAGAGAAAAAGAGAGAGAGAGAGAGAGGGAGGAGACAACATCAAGGTGGTGCAGCGCAAGACATATCTCGGGTGCTTGTCAGCGAATGCCGTGACACACAAAACGCAGACGTCGTCGGTTGACGGTGAGGAGCGCCGCCCCGTAATTACCGCGATTATTTAATCATGCCCAATTCGCGGTGTACCAGAGGCGATTGTGACCAAGCGGTAGCAACAGCAGTAGCATCAGCAGCGTTAACAGTGACTACGGCGTGAGCTTCTACATCTTTTTCTCTCTCTCTCGCTCTTTCGTTCTTCCTGTTTGACTCTCTCCGTCTTTATCTTCGATGTCGTATTCCATCGTCACGCGTGTATAACGGTATACGCGTGGATAACGCGAGTCGCCCGAAAGCGATCGAAAACGAGCGGCTGCACCAGTGTGTGCGTGCGTGCATCGTGCGTGCGAGCGAGCGACGTCGCCCCGGTGACGGCTCGCACCGCTGGCGATATCGCGCGCATTCCGCCGCCCGGCTACGCCTGGCCGAGAAATGCGGTTCTGAATCGGCGATTCTCCTCCCGATCGGCTTGCTTGCCTGCGCGCGGCGGGGTGTTCGTGATACATACATACGTGCGCGCTTTCGCGCGACGGGTGGGTGGTAACGGCGAGTGAAGGGAAGGGGGGTTGTACGCGAGTCGCCGCGCAGAGTGCGCGCTCGGTTACTCTTGGTTACTCTGGTGTTCCCTTGATTTGCAGTGTTTTGAACGGGATCACGGTGGTGCGGACTGTGATACTCTGGTGCGAGGTGTGAGTGACGTTTTAGAACAAGTTGTGCAGGAAGGAAGCGAGGGAGAACGGAACAGAACGCAAAGAAGGAAGGAAGGAAGGACAGACGGACGGACGGGCGAACGGACGGACGGAAGGACGGAAGGAAGAGATAGACGAGGAAGACGAGGAGGAGGATAAGAGAGAGAGCAGGGTAGCAAGATGGCGGGCTCCTTAACGTGGTCGTGTACTTGTTGCCTGCGGTTCAAGTTTAGCCCGGAAGAGATCGAGCAGCGTTACAAGAGCCAGGAGATCGACCGGATGCTGGAGAAGGACCGGCAAGCGTTTCGCCGGCAGGTCAAATTGCTGCTGCTCGGGGCGGGCGAGAGCGGCAAGTCGACATTCCTTAAACAGATGCGGATCATTCACGGGATCAAGTTCGAGGTAAGACCCTTAGCCGCACGTGTTTTCGGTGACGGGAACGGCCGTTCAGGTCTGCTCCGCATTTCCTCGTCGTGTTCGTTCGTCCCGGGATTCCTCACCGTCGCGAACGCGTTGACACCTCACGGACGTCAGAACGGTCTCGTTTCATGCAGAACATTCAATGGCTTGGCCTGCATACTCAGTGGCGCATTTCAACTCGATCTTGCTATGATAATTTGACGATAATTGGCGTTACGATTTAAAGAGGCCCGCGAGAATGGGGGTTTGAGAATAGGCGATACGGTAGATGCAAAGCTAGGCGTGTTACGCGCGTATGTTTTGATTATTGAACAAAGCACAATGATAATGTACAATAATGATGATTCATTAAACCATGTATGCTATGATAAAAAGTAAAGCTATGATTTGATCAAAGTGTTAGACAGGATGTATGTTATAAATTAGACCAAGCCTCTTCTTAGGACGGATATTTAGTGAAATAACTAATATTGAACGTTTAAGTACAGACACAGCATTTGTCATTTATTGTACTTTTAGTCAAAGAACTGTGATTCATATGGACTACAGATTATAAATTATAAGAGTGTCAGTTGGTACTTGATATTTTTATATGGGCTGATTTTATGCAAGATCTTGCAAGAACTTGATAATACATACTATTATATATTCCTTTCCAGCCTGAATTAATTAAAGAATACCAACATGTGATCTACCAGAATATTATTAAGGGAATGAAAGTTCTGGTGGATGCTCGGGATAAGCTGAATATTCCTTGGGAGAATCCTAAGAATTATGATATTGGTTTCCAATTACTCAAGTTTGAAAACACAATGGTATTGGATGCTAGATTATTTTTGCACTATGTACCAGGGCTGCAAAGTTTGTGGAAAGATGCATCAATTAGAAGGGCCTTTGACAGGCGAAGAGAATTCCAATTAGTAAGAGTTTCTTTCATAGTTCTAAAACTTTACAATAATTTTTATGAGAATGTGGAAAATATCAAATGCATTATATATATATATATATATATATATATATATATGTATATATATATATATATATATATATATATATCCTTATCCTCTTTTTAAATTTATGTACCTCACATTTATATATGTATCTTGGTATTTCCAGAGCGATTCTGTTCAGTATTTCTTGGATAATCTCGACAGGATTGCAAGAGTGGTAATACTTTTGATAATTTATGATTAAAACTGTTTAATCTATATTATATTTTCACTTAATAAAGTAGAAAGGTGTTGATATATTTAAGTGAATGTGTGCACGTGTGCATTATTTACTTTTAATTCCGATTATTGTAATTTACCATTGAATGTATAAGAAAAGTACCTTTACAGGAATATACGCCTACGCATCAAGATATTTTACACTGTAGGAAGGCAACAAAGGGGATCTCTGAATTTGTAATACCAATTAACAATATCCCATTCCTCTTTGTCGACGTTGGCGGCCAAAGATCTCAGAGGCAAAAGTGGTATCAGTGTTTCGACTGTGTGACTTCCATACTTTTCCTCGTGTCATCATCGGAATTCGACCAGGTCTTGCTCGAAGATAGGTACGTTATCTCCGTTTTTATTACACATATGTACCGCCGGTGTTTAGAATGACGTAACGAGATAACGATCATTCATCTAATCTCACAGGAGGACTAACAGACTGGAGGAATCCAGGAATATATTTGATACGATCGTGAACAACATGATATTCTGTGGTGTTTCCATTATCTTATTTTTGAACAAAACTGATTTGCTCGATAAGAAAGTAAGGTCACAGGATACGAATGTCCGTTGGTACTTTCCACAATTTACGGGTGATTCACATTCCATGAAGGACGTCCAAAATTTTATACTCGATATGTTTATCTCGGTTAAGAGAGATCCGAGGAAGCCGTTGTTCCATCACTTCACCACCGCGGTGGACACGGAGAACATTAAAGTTGTCTTCAACGCGGTGAAGGACACCATTTTACACCGGAACTTAGAGTCTCTCATGCTTCAATAATGCTGTAGAGACGGAGGAATAAGAGCACAAATAAAGCAGCTAGTAACACAAAGGTACGCGGCAGAAATTAACATTTAGCATACCATTAATCCAACCCGTAGTTTTCGAGGAATACTGCGATGCAGACTAGGTCGAAAAAAATAAATAAAACATTTTGATAAGACAATATATCTGTATGGATACGCGAATTGAGTATTTACCTCCGTATATAGATACGTTTTCAGTAGAGAAAGTGAAAGAGAAAACTGCCTGATGTAAAGATATATATTGAGAATTTTGACTCTGTATACACTATACATATATATTAAGATATATTTCGGTCGCTTTCGATAAACATTGAACAGTTGTAAGGAGATTATTATACAAACTTGTACATAACTAATTTGTATTCTGTATGTTGTCAATAATTTCTACGATAATGTGGGTTGACATATTTGTATAAAAAGAAGGATCAGTTGCAAATAATCCAATTTAGATTCTTACATTTGTACAGATACACGTGATCCCCGATGCTTTTTTCCATAAATATAATGCGTAAGATTATTGCTGGTTGTTAAACCAGAATTCACAGGTCTATGGAATAACTTATTTCTTACTTAAGATGGACTATCCTTAATTAACACTGACTATATTAAGTAATAAGAAAAACCAAATATACTAGATTCATGCCATATAAACCAAATGAAACTAACCAGTTTGTGTTCAAATTGCTGGAAAAAAAGGAAATTGTTCAGCCATTTCTTCTTTTGAAGAGACGATGCAATATAATGTATGTAATGCTATTCGATGTAATGCTATTCAAATCTTTGTATCTTACATATACTATACATTGATTCACTTTCGAGATTCTCTTTTTATAGTGTTGTTGTCATTCTCACGGACTGAAGATCATGAAAATTGTATTAATTGAAATCGTTTTCTTGTTATACAAAATAGTATGTTAATTGAAATTTTTTAAATATCTCATACAGTTTTTACATATATAATACGACAATATAATTTTTCTTGCGCTAAGTGGCGAGGTAGAGAATTAATTCTACATTAGAAAAGCATGTAATAGCAGTTCTAAATTTTATAATTGCATCACAAGTTTTGTCTATCCTGTAAATTTGATAACTGATCCTTTATGGAATATAAATATATATTTGTACTTTTCAACGGAAATTTAATTTTCACAAATGATCAGTATTATTTTGTTCCATATTGTGCAGATTAACGAATGAATTACGTGAATTGATTTTCGACTTTTTGCAGTTTCGATAAAAAAACCAGATTTTGTAACAGCAATTTGTATAAGCTACGTCTAATTTAACATATAAATATGATATTATGTTTACGTCTACATATGCATGTGTACTTGATTAAAAATTTTTTATCTTGTGCAAGTGATCGATTGATAAATCTGATGCAATTTGAGCTGAAACATTGTAATGTACCAAAAATTCCGTAAAGGAATGTAACAAGTATATTTTGTGTAGAAGAGAAATTTCTGTTTATCTTTGTTCTAGCAATGAAAGTAATAATATCTTTTATTGTATGTATACGCGCACATAAATCGTGCCCAAAGATTTTATGTAATGATGTTGGTTAAGCCAAAGAATTCTGTGAATCGAGGAGCTTTTACATATTTTATATTTTTTCTATTAATTTATCTAATGATATGCAATACATTAATATACATGCATTACCCATATTCTTGAAAATATAATTGCTGTCACGATACGATCATAAGTTAATGAAGTGTGTTTTGATTCTGTAATTAGATCATCTATTACATAAAATCTTTGCTATTTTTTAATCTGCGAAAATTCAGGAAAAAGATATAAGTTTACTAACTACAAGTAAATTTATAATATGCACACTTCTCCCATAAATATATGAGAACAATTAATTTTATAATATTAAGTTTATACATATATATAGCTTATATATATATATATATATATATATATATATATATATATATATATATATATATATAT